CTTTGCTACGATAATAAACGAAGTCTCGATTTTCCATATTTTCGTTAACCGATAAATGGCGAGGGTGGTGTAATCCAATTAATATCCAAGCAATGCGAGGGTCAATGAGTTGATTATGGGCTTGTCATTAGTATAAATGTCTAAGTGATAATATTAATTTAAAGTCATAAAAAGATTATGCATCTTTAAATCAAATAATATATATATATTTCCTTAATCCCATGGGCGTGGCATGAATTAGTATATATATATATATAATTTGGATAATTGCTTGAACGTTGGGATTTAAAAAGAAGTCAAGCTGAACAAAAGTTTTGAGTATACTGGATGACATTAGTTGAAAAACTCTGATATTTAAAAAAAAAACAACAAAAAACTAACTCAACAAGTCTAACGGTATGTTTCTAAATGTTCCGTTACTAATTGAAATATATCTATTTTGTTATCCCATGAGATGGTAGCACCGTTGACTCGTTCTATTACGGAATTGGAGTTTTCGATATTTGACTAGTTTTGCTCTGGATGACTGGTCGTTTGAGTTATGAAATTTGTCACATCTATGCGGTACATGCTATAGTCCATTCAGTAAAGCTGTATCATACGGTCTGTCATTGAGTCAACTGGCGGGGTTTCGATTCCCCGGTTGTACGTGACCTTCAGTAGGGTCGCCTGTCAAACCTCGTGGGTTTTCTCCGGGTCCTCCGGTTTCCTCTCACTGCTAAAGACCCCTACGCGCAAGCGAATTGTTGAAATAAAATTGAACCATGTGTTAGTCCCGAAATGACCTGGTTTGTGTCGGGTGGACGTTAAACCCCATTTCTCTGTCTCTCTCCCATTCAGTAAAACATCTTAATATTCATTATCTCTTTAACGAATTTTGAATTCATCTTTTAAAGTGACATTTTTACACACAAGAACGTTTTTATGTTTTTACCATTTTTAAACCGACTTCATGTGTAAATAATCCTAATTAAAATCAATCCGAGTTATCCTTTTAACGAGTTCAATGGCTAAATGTCACTCAAGGATTATATTAGACAACTTCGTATCAGGTACGTGTAACGTGTCTGCTATTCCCTTGACAAGATCGTGCCGTGTGTGTTCTAAACTGCTTTGAGATAGTTGATTTAAATTATTCTGATTAATTTTTCACCCATTTAGCACCCCGCTGATATTTGTGATGTGTGAAGGGGGGGGGGCTAAACTGTAGATCATACGTCATAAGTTCGATGCCATGTTTGAGAGGTCGGGTCAGGGGTCATACGAACAGCTTTTGAGCCTATCAATCAGCGTTGTCGTCTCTAGTGATTTACCCACAGTTCCGTGTACAACACGCCAAGAAATCGCCGTAACAGACCGTTTCATTGGCTAATTCCTCACATCAAGCAGGACGCCTGTTACATAACAACTCTTCTAGATCCTAGTGTAGTAAAGACAAGTAAAACGAAATTTTGAACTATAAAACAACGAAACGAAAAAGGATCTGTGTTTTGAACTATAAAAATACGAAACGAAATAGAATCTGTGTTTTAATCAGATTGCAATTCATCACAGATGATACAAATTTTACAGAAAGAAACTGATTCGTTTGGGTGACGGTGATTTAGATTGTTCAATAGCTCATCCTTGTCGTTTCAAATATCTATCAATGTATACCGATAGTGTGTAGGGTAAGTCAAAGTTTCGATGAAAGCCAACTGACGTTGCAGATCAAGATCTGGGCAATCTAAAGGCTTATCAATTCCGCATTTGAAAAAGCATTCGGCCATGGTTAACCTTGTGATAGACACAGTTTTTAATATGACAAAACCAGTATAGATAGCACTACGTGTCCTGCATTTTGGAAGCCATGGTTGATTGGGGTAACCAATCAATTTAAAGTTTTATATTTCAAAGACACATATAACAGATATTATGGACCTTATTATTATAACGTCCATGCAGATATACAATCCATCAAAAAACATAAGTTTGGTAACACTTCCACTTCAAGGAATAAATTGTGAGTTTGACAGTCGGGCTGTTATAATTAACATCTAAATCTAATGGCATACCCGAATTAGAAATGGTTCCACTACTGATGTCTTCCGCCTTATTCCAAACACAGTTTAACGATAGATTTAATTGTAGCTATACCCGAATATCTAAAATACTTAAAGAAAGATCACAAAATTGCTTTAACAATTCTTCAATAAAGTAATTATAACCAGGAAGTAGACAGAGGCCGGTACATAAATATCTCAGCAGAGCAACGGCTTTACCAAATCGGGGGTTGGATGGCCGAATGGTTAGTGCGTGCGCGTTGTATCATAAGGTCTGTCACTTAATCAACTGGTGTGGTTTCGATTCCCCGGTTGTACGTGACATGGAGTAGGGTCGCCTGTCCAACTTCGTGGACTTTCTCCGGTTTCCTCCCACTGCTAAAGACCCCTACGCGCAAGTGAATTATTGAAATAAAATTGAACCATGTTAGTCCCGATATGCCCTAGTTTGTATCGATTTGACATTAATTCCTATTTCATTTTATTTCCAAATCTGCTAATCCAAAGTCATTGAAGATAGAGAAATTGTGTAATGTTATGCAGTAATTAATATGAAAATCTAAGTAACACCTACGTATAGCCAATCCTCAACAATTCCCGAAGTAAATTTAATTGTATTTGTAATTATGTCCACAATCCGTGTATTTCCTACAATGTTTAAATGAATCTGAAATTTGTATGCTGCTTCTAATTGGTTTAAATGCAATAAAAGCGGCTCTCTGAAATTTCATGACAAAACGACCTATTATTATGTCATGTGGCCGTTTTTCCTTCCAAATCCAAATACTGCAACAAACACATCTGAACATGCGAATTGTGTCCAATTTTTGTGAGTCGCGTCACTTCTTTGAACGGCCGCACAACGTCCTAAGATGTCAAAAACTTTATAAATGCATTATTACAATGGATGGATGGCATTCTTTTAATTTAATTGATAGCCCTGGATAGATGTTAAGGCATAAATTTTAATTAAACTGCATAAGAGTCTCCCCTACTGATGCACTTTTAAGTAAAATGAACCGTGTTATATAGACGACATATCTAGCCTACCTATGTAGGTGGCCTAATTATCATTAACACAGGTTAATTAAAGAAAGATTAAACTAAGAGTGCTACACGGACAGGTAATTTGATGTCTTTGAAGACAGCGCAGATGTTAGTCATGCTCCATATAATATATTTACTCTAAATCTATAGTAATGTTGGCTTAAGACTTTTCTAGATTTGTTGGGTAAACTGAGTCTTTTCTTTCGTGGGTTTGCCAACTTTCTTCATGACTGTGACCAGTGTCAACACCACTGTTTGATTCAGGCAGAATGAAACTTGTAATTTAGACAAGTATTATCACCAATTAAACGAAGTAGTCACACCACAGGAAAGAAATTGTACAATAGATGGAAATAAAACATGACGTTTCCATTGTGTGAGTGGACAACATCCTCTATTTAATTAAGGCTGTTTTTTTTTGTAGTTTTAAACAGAGAAAACTTCCTGGAAAAGGTGTACTTGCTCAGCAGGGTCTATATTGAAAACTAATTATTTATAGAGAGAGAAATGTGGTGTAACCCCCACGTAACACAAACTAGGTCACTTCGAGACCAACATATGATTCAATCTTTTTTCATTAACTTGCTTGTGCATATATAGGAATCTTTAGGAGTTGGAGGAAACCAGAGGGGAGAGAGAAATGGGGTTTAACGTCCACTCGACACAAATTAGGTCAATTCGAGACTAACGTATAGGGTTCAATTTTATTTCAATAAATCGATTGCGCATACAGGGGTCTTTAGCAGTGGGAGGAAACCAGAAGACTTGGAGAAAACCCACAAAGTTGGACAGGTAACCCTACTTCTTGTCATGAACAAGTTGGGAATGGAAACCATGCCATTTGACACAATGACAAACCTTATGATCTAAAGAGCACATGGTAGGCCACTACTGTTCATTAATGCTCAGGTTGTGAATAATCAATGCGCTTGTCACAGCAAATGCTGTGAAATCTTTTCTAAGGAGTTTATTAAAATCTTTTATTTATAGATTATCTGGAGCACTTATACTTTGATTCAGCGTTCACCAATGAAATTACTTTTTACTTAATTTTTGGCAGATTACCCTGGGATGCAGCCAATATTAAAGCCTATGTTGTGTTTAAAGGGCAGTGGTGTTCTCAACTATTTTTCTCTTCTAATTTCACCCCTCACTAACATCTCTCCCATATAATCTAAAACACACCCCGGACAAAATATTAAAAGTTAGTAAGAGCAGTGACCCATAACACAACAGGTTATTTAGGAGATAAACACTTCCTGTTTCGCATTTAGAGGGGTGTTATTGTCCAATAGACATGTCTTGAGATCATTAGGACCCTAGACGGGTTGGCGTCGCGGGTTCTAATGTAAAATCTCAGGACATGTCTATTGGACAATAACATCCATCTAAATATGAAACAGGAAGTGTTTGTCGACATTGTAACATGCTATTTTACCATTTTAAAAGAAATTACTAAAACAGAGGGGTGTTATTGTCCAATCAACAGTGTCTAATTGACCAATCAAAACGCAAGTTTCATCCATAAGCATGTTACAATTCTATTTAAAGTAACATGTAAATTATATCATACTATCTACATGTAAATAGACTCAGTCGAGTAATCTGATTTAAGTTTAAATTCATTATTTTCCTCTACTTCTTAGGGTATATTTTTTTGCCTGTCATTTACAGCTGTTACCTAGTACAGTTGAGACATCTTTCCACTACCCATACAAATATCATTCAATATTCATAGTAGCTTCAGCTATCTATGGGTATAAAACTAAGTGATATGCTTATAACTAACTAATCAAACTTATACATCTGATTAAATCAAACTCAAATTTTAAAAGTCATGGTTATTTAATTACATTTCAAAACTGAGGGAAGTAAGGATCCGTAAATCTTCTTAAAAAAAAAGTATATCAGTAAAAAAACAGGCTTTTAATCAATAAATTTACAAAAATGGATACAGATTACACATAACACATGCAAAATAAAGAAGAAAAACTTTGGCTTGTTAAAAATTATTGTATTTCTGATACTAAATTCCTTGAATCATAAAAAAGCTTGAATTCTTTGAATTTAAATATTGAAGGGAAGGAATTATGCACAACAAATGTTCTCATTTGGAACTATACAAAAGAAAAGAAAGATTTTAAAATCAATTTTATAAAAAAAAATACTGAATACAGTTCAGGATATCAGAAGTTGATGACACATCACATAGGGTTTTATTTTCCCTGTTATTAGTATTCACTTCAGATACTACAGGTGCTTTGCAATTTTAATCCAAAGGTATGGTTTAAATTTTCAACTCCATATAAACCCAATGATAAATCAATGTCAGAGGGCACCTGCTTCTCATGGAATACATCATTGACAATATTTCTAGGACAAATTCACACGAACATGTTAAATAACACAGCACCATATCGTTTGTTTACAACATTCTAATCCTGTTCCAAACCAAATGTTTTAAGGCAAAATCAAATAAATCATATTTTGGATTAATAAGGTTAAATTTTCACAAAAATACAAGAGCCATGACAACAAACTTGAGGAATCTTGCTAGCTAAAGGGCTTGTGTTAAAACAATATACTATTATTGAAAAAGACTATCTAATATAATACACAATATAAACATAACACAAAAATGTATACATAAAAATTATCACAGTTAATTAAAATATTTTAATCAGATTACAACAATACATGACAAATTATAGTCAGATGACAACAGTACATGGCATATTATAGTCAGATTACAACAGTACATGAAATATTATAGTCAGATGACAATGGTACATGACATATTACAGTCAGTCAGATTACTAGAGTACATGACATATTATAGTCAGATGACAACGGTACATGGCATATTATAGTCAGTCAGATTACTAGAGTACTTGACATATTAAAGTCAGATGACAACGGTACATGACATATTATAGTCAGTCAGATTACAACAATACGACATATTATAGTCAGATTAAAACAGTGCATGACATATTATAGTCAGATTATAACAGCACATGAAATATTATAATCAGATGACAACAGTTCATGACATATAATAGTCAGTCAGATTACAACAGTGCATGACATATTATAGTCACATGACATATTATAGTCAGATTACAACAGTATATGAAATATTATAATCAGATTACAACAGTACATGAAATATTATATGTCTTTTAAATGGAGATATATTTGTTTATTTTTGTGAAGACACCTAACATCTTGAGATATAGTATTTCAGTAGAGACAAAATTCTGAAGTCAAATTATTTGTTTATAAAAATGCTTTAAATGTTAAAAAACAAAACAAATAAAACCACCCATTACAATTAAATAGAGAGCAGAAATGCTTTCTATTAAAGAGCAAAAAATCATATTTTATAATGCATACACCTTACAACTTGAATTATTATTCGTAATGATTCTCTGACGTTCCATTATTTAGTTTTAAAGGCGAAATGAATAATACTAACTGTAAATGTAATGTTTTTGTCACACAACACACAAACTGACAAATCATAATATGTCTAGAAATCATCATCACCACTATCTATGGGTTGAGGTGAACTATAGGTCGAATTTCCTCCCATTTCTGGTGAATTTATATACAAAGCTGTTTTAGCCACAGGATGCTTATTAACTGGTGAATTTTGATCTTGTATATCACAGTTTGTATCTCCATCAGCTTTAGAAACATTATGTTTAATAGGTGACATATCCCTCCAATTGGTACTACCGTTAGTTTGATTTAAATGAGAGTTCTGGAGTAAAGTAGAGTTTGGACCGAATACTGACGGCATACAAAATGATGTCTGCATAAATGGAAGCTGGTTGTTGTCAAGTCCTGCCATTGTGATCAAATTTCCAAGACTGAAAAATAAATTAAATAAACATTTAACATATATCTTTTCTGTTTTGTGTCTAAAATGTCAACTTTTTACAGTGTTAAAGCAAGAATAATAGTGTCTAAAAGGTAAAGTTTTAGTGTTAAACCAAGAACAGTAGCTACAGTTAAAGGGAAATCACATTTAACCGGGAAATCAAAACCACGCCAGTTGACTCAATGACAGACCTTATGATACAGCCCGCATATGCTAACCATTCAGCCATCCAACCCCCCCAACAAAGAAGTCAGATTGAATTAAAGAATAAATCTTAATTAGTCTGACAATATGATGGTCTATTTTTGCCCAATGTGATTTTTGATAGCTGATGGATTTTAAAGGTACAATATGTAAGATTTAGATAAAGAGCTGTCCGTTCTTGCTATAATAGTTCAAAAATAGATAATGCAAAATGAATATATTAAAAATTTCATTCAAATTACTTTACTCTGAGCCAAATTATCACTGCCTGTAGTTTTGACAAGATGTGTGCATTGATTGTTTATTATCTTAACCATGGTACTGGTATATTCGAGACTTGCTCCTCCATTTTTAAACTAAATCATTTAACTGCCGAACTGCTCTAATCTAGTCAAAATCTCAAGCATCCGATGGCATCAAGAGTTGATTATGGTCTTGTCATGTTAATAAATGTCTAATTAATAATTTATATAACCATAAAGGTCTAAAGTAATTCAGCAATAGGCAAATTTAATTCTTGAATAATGCCCCTTTAATATCAAATATTTGTGAGAATCATTGTAAAGATTTTAAGTATCTTACTTTGCTTCCGTTAACATATCTAGAAATTGATGAAATTGTTTAAATGAAGCTTCAACATTTGATAGAAATGATTCGTCTCCTAAAGTTTCCAGACGTTTTAATCTAGTAACATCTTCCTGTAGTCTTTTATTCTCTACAGCCAGCTGAAAAATACATACACCATCAACATTATCTAAATATACATCTACAAGTACTTGGACTATTGAAGAGGAGTAAACATGGCATGGAACTAAATCAAAACCTGATTTATGCGATAAACAAAACTCTTGCAAAAATATGAGTCCAAAAATGGTTCAATTTCAGTAGTATTTACACAAAAAATAATAATATGACAAACTTGAATTCCACTGATCTATGCAGCTCCTTATATGTATAGAGGTACATTTTACTTTTTCTATTTTTCTCTCTTTTCTCTTCTTTTTCTCAACATAATTGTTTCAACAAATTCAACAAAGTCGGTCTACATTACTTTAAAGTTGAACTTTGCGCCATTTTTTTTAATCTATGGTAATCTCCAGTATGAAATGTGGATTAAGCCGTGAGAAATTAGATATTTTACGAAAAATGCAAATAACACACAGTTAATTTAATGTTTACTCAACGAGGTCATTGGTATATATCTGTATTTTATTTTTATGCATTCATTTTCATGTATGACTCTTCGGTAGTAGGTTAAATAAGGAAATGAAATGGGGTTTAACGTCCTATTCTGCTCTGGGCTGGGCTAATGAAGACGGGCATACGCCATACTGTATGAGGGAAATTTTGCCCGGACAGCGGCACTATGGCCTACTCTTATATCAAATTCCAACTGTCAAGGAATCTTTTACATGCACGCCAATGTGTACAGGGGACCTCGGTTTTCCGTCCCATCAGAACAACTAGACAGCTGTCCTTGTCAGACCCTTCGTCCTGCATCACTGACAAGGGAGAACCACGCCAAGAAATCTGGATGAACTTTCTCGGCCAATGCAGGGATCGAACACCCGACCTCCAGACTAGCAAGCCAACATCTTACCCACTTAGCCACCGTGATCCCCGGTTAAATAAGGAATGGTAAACAAAATCCCATATATTTGGGCAGATTAGAATATATAAATTAACCTGTAAAAGAGCTTGATCTGATGTAGCTCTAGCTATTTTTTCTTCTCTTAAACTTCTTCTTAATTGTTCTAGTTCAACCTGTAGAAAATATATCACCATTAATTCCGTTCATATCAAGCATCAACTATACAAATTTTCATTATTCCAAAAGCAATTGATCAACTGAAAACATAGTGTGAGACTATACAAGACAGATTATGACAACTTCAATTTCCCTATCGTTAATCTTCCTCAGCATCATGGAGAATAAATATTTTTCTGCTGATTTACTATGTTAGATTGAACTTCCTTATATTACAGACATATTTATCAACTAGTGGTGCCACTGATAGTCATTTCAGGGATTGTCAATCAATCATAATATACAATATCTATGAAAGTTGACCCTCTAAAATGAACTGCAGTCCAAAAATGGTTCAATTCCCTTTAGTATTACTAAGACATGATAAATAGAAAAGTGCATTAGCTAGCAAGGCCACCGATACTGATATAAATTTCAGGAGTTGTCAATCAATCATAAACTACAATATTTTGAAATTAGAAATGGATGTCAGTCTAAAATTGGTTCTTTCAGTATTTACAAAGACATGGATGAATTGAAAACTTCCTTTATAGATGATATGAACAAACCAGCGCAACCTGCAAGTGTTGGGTAAAATCTTCTGATGGGCCTCTTTTTAATCTGATTGAATTCAAGCCAGAAAATGACCTATATTGATTGCTATATAGGTTTTGTTTTATTAATTAAATGTTAAATAATCAATTAAAGTACATTAATTGGATTAAGCTGTGAATAATTAGTAATAATTGTCTAAAAACTGCATGGTTATGATCAGTGAATTTAACACACTTTCAAATGGGGGATAATGTACACTCAACTCACTGCAGGTCATTTCTGAACTAACATATGGTTCAATTTTCATTTCAATAATTCACTTGCAAGTAGGAGTCTTTAGCAGTGGGAGTAAACCAAAGGACTCAGAGAAAACATGCGATGTTGGATAGATGACCCTGATCCTCATCACGTACAAGCTGGTAAATGAAATCATGCCAATTCACTCAATGACAGACCTTATGATCCAACTAGTGATGTGCGGTTTTTCGGTTTAACCGTACGGTATCGGTTTAGTTTTTTCCAAATTCCTAATTTTAATTTACCCGTTTTTCGTTTCGGAAATGTTTGAAAAATTCCTAATTTTTATGTAGCTGTTTACTTAATAATTCAAAAATTTTAATGTAGCCACCACTTTCATTTTTATTTTCGATCAACCAGACCCCCTATGTATAGAGTGTTTAATAAGTGTTTAATGTAGCCACCACTTCCATTTTTATTTTCGATCAACCAGACCCCCTATGTATAGAGTGTTTAATAAGTCTGGATGGCCTAGATTATTTTCTCAATTCGGTTTGGTTCATGATACAAATTTTTATGCAAGCCTAAGCCGGTTGTCAATAACGCACGATGGCTTACAGTAACTTTATTGTTATTGGTATTATGTCGTTATATTAATTTATTATTATGGTGTTGTGTTTGACAAAGTTTGTCAGATCTTTTTTTTACAGTAACTTTATTATTATTGGTAATATGCATTATGCAAGAGCTAAATCTGCCTATTGCAGGTCTTTCTTTAGGCCTGAAATGTTTTCTAAAGTATTAATTAGACATTAATTAACTGATCAAGGCCATAATCAACTCTCGATGGCATCAGATTTCTCCGATATTAAATAGATTAGAATGGTTCAGCGATACTTTGATTTAATCAAATATGGAGGACCGAGACTTAGCTTCGATCAACCAGTACGGTGGTTGAAATTATTGCACACGTCTGTCAAACCTTCAAAGGCTAATATCTTCGCTTGCAATAGAGTAATTTGAATGAAATTTTCAAATTATTCATTTTACATCATCTACTTTCGAACTATTATAACAAGAATGGCTATCTCTTTATCTCAATCTTACATAATGTATCTTTAATTTATTATTATGGTGGTGTGTTCGACAAAGTTTGTCAGATCTTTTTTTACAGTAACTTTGTTTTTCCTAGTCATATAACAGTAAAAAAAAATTGTTGTTTACAATTTACATCAATATGTTTGATATCTTTTCTAGCTACCAAGTATTCCTATAAAATAACCATAATTCAGTACATTCATAATACAGTGTTTAAATGAATAAAAAAACCCCGAAAATCGAAACCGAGGTTTTTTGCCACAGAAAAACCGAAAACCGAAACCGAAAGAAAATTTAAAAACTGCACATCACTAGATCCAACGCCCAATCCCCCTTTATCCTCTGAAAGTAAGCCTGCACAGACTGCCTGATCTCAACCGTAATAACATTACTAACCTTAACCTCTTTGGGATTATTAATATCAATAGATACATCACTGTCATTATTAAATGTTACGTTATGTTTGTAGCTGTAATTATTGTCTCGTATTAAAACTATTTCTGATATACTGTGATTGTGGGTCGTTGTATTGGGTGACAGACATTCACTACTGTCGATAAAACTTGATTTATAATCTGGAGGAAATCCCCTGAAAATAATACATTTATTAATCATTATGTTGAAATGAATAGAATAAATCCTTTTAGACACCACATATATCAGGTGGAAATCCATTTCACTTTTGTCTGGAATTGTGTCAAGGGAAATAACTCTTTTAAAGCTATTTCCGTAATGACACATCTGATCTTATCTATTCAATAATGCACATTAAAATCAGCGAGACAGGAAATGAATAGAGGTATATTTGTGCAATCTAAAATATTGTTATAAAAGATTATTAAAATATTTTTTTATATAAAATTCATCATTAACTATCTGCTGATCTGGATCGGCTTTGAAAATATATAGAGCAGCTTATTCTGGTATTATAATGGGGTTTAACGACTTACTTTCCCGAAAGGAATTAAAAGTCATCTAATGGGAAAAAATCTGAGGTTTGAATAGAATCAATATATATGCATTATCGAAAAATGCTCAGCATTAAATCTTACGTATTACTATTAGTTAATAATATTGTTTTTATATCAAGTTGGGTCCTGCACATCAAGATTCAAAACTTCCATCCAGTAGATTTTATTCTGTTTTATTTTTGAAGTGATAAAGAAAAACGGCAATACTATATACCGGAAAACTACCGGAAAACACAATATTATACTAAATACCGGAAAACACTGGAAAGACACTAAATACCGGAAAACACACTAAATACCAGAAAACACACTAAATACCAGAAAACACCCTCAATATGTAACCCAGAGGACCAGGCTCAGAGTTACCTATTTAGGGTGTTTTCCGGTATTTAGGGTGTTTTCCGGTATTTAGTGTTTTTCCAGTGTTTTCGGTATTCAGTATAACATGGTATTTTCCGGTATATAGTGCAGCCCAAGAAAAAGAGCATAATGTACCTATATCTATCAGCTCGTTCTGCTGTTCTCCATGGTAAACCTGGACTCTTACTAACTTTTCCTTTACTTCTAACTTTATCTACATTTTCAGCTGATATGGTGATCTTTTTGACAGAACTTTGAGCCTATAAATTATAAAATTAATTGAATAAAAATATATTTTAAACATACATTATGCAAGAGCTAAATCTGCCTATTGCAAGTCTTTATTTGGGCTTCAGATGTTAGAGAAATTATTAATTAGACCTTTATTAACATGACAAGCTCAAAATCAACTCTGTAGACCCGCAGATAGCTTGGATACAATTTGGATTTAAACAGTCGTCCATTTAAAATTAAATAAATAAATTGCGGACCAAGCTCACGTTTACTGTTAGTCGCTGATGTCACTACTGGAAACTAGTGATGAAAGGCCAGCCAAGCGAAGCCACCAACCATAGCCATTTAGCATGTTACTTGATAATCGAGAATATGTGGGTGAAGTTATCGTCTGTCAATCAAACAATCGCAAATTCTCATATAAAACGGTGTAGACACAATTGATGCCTATTTCTAGTCCAAACTCCCAACAGTGACAATTCAGTTCAGAACAAAGTAATTTGACCGAAATTTTCAACATTTTCTTTTTTTATCATCTATTTTTGAATTATTATAGCAAGAATGGCTAACTCTTTTTAAAACTCTTAGCTGATGTATCTTTAAATAAACAATACTTTTTTTTTAACCCTTTTAGCACTTGGAACATGTAACATTGTAAATATATAGACTAACTCGGTTTCTTTGAGAAAAGTTATATATTTCATTGTAATATATCCCTGAACAGCCTGAAACTGCTGTTCCTTCAGAATGCCTTGAAACAGCTCTCTGAATTGTATGGCACATGGGGGTTGGGTGATCTAGTGGTTTAAAGTGTGCGTGTGAAATCATAAGGTCTGCCATTCAGTCATGTGGCGTGATTTCAATTCCCAGCTTGTATGCGACAAGGAGTCGGGGCACCTCTCAGTCAAGTAGGTTTTACCCGGGTCCTCTGGTTTCCTCTTCCTGCTAAAGACCACTACATGCAAGCGAATTATTATAAAATTGAACCATAATGTTAATCCTCATCTCTTTCTCTCTCTACATATGACACACAACATACATATTGAACAAACACATCAGTTTGACTCCATCTCGATCCTGGACCGAAATCAAAATTTCACCTCAGTTGTCCTTTAATTGGGAATGTCCCTCTCAAGTTTCATCCAAACGGCCTAGAAATGAGACTTCAAATCAACTGTCCACGAGAAAAGAGGAGAAAATGCAAATGTCAGTAAGACCCTGTTGGGTGCCCTGCACCATGAGGCGAGAATATTATTCAATGTTCTTAGTCTATTAAGGACACCAAGAGCTATATCCACCTGTACTATAAGTATCTGTTATACTGCTACCAGTAGATGTACCTTAATCAGTAGGAAAATACTGTGCTGATCATTAGGAACCCAATCAGGCATGCTGTTTCAATATTTTGCTGGTCGCATCATTTTTAATTGTGGTTAATAGAGGCCAGAATTAGGTCACCAGAAGCTTTCGTCAGCTTCAGGAAATAGGGTCAATATGCTTCCGCTCCCTTTTAATAGACTTCAACTACAAATTTCTTTCTATGTTATGTAGCATAGCATATTTTATGCAAAGATTATAGCAATTCAAGATCTATATACATCCATACTATATCAGACAGATATACAAATTGTCATCGCTGTAAAAATCAACTTAAAATAAAACTATTTTTTAAAAAAAAACAGCGGGTGCCAGGCAGGATACACCAACATTTTCGAGAGATGGATAGAGAACAAGCTAAAACGAAAGTGATTTTTCCTACAATCAAGGGCCATAATTCAGGAAATTGCAATTCGATATGTGCGAATATCGAAAGGATCCAAGATCTTTCGGTTATAAACTTACATTTCAAGTTTCAACAAAATTGGATAAAAATTGCGACCTCTATAGGGTCCACAACCTTGATATACCATATTTTTACGCTATTTGAGAACGAAGGGCGACCATTTTGTCTGTCAGTTTTGGCCCGATTTTCACGAAATTCGAACTCAGCCGTCCTTAGGATATAACGATGATATAATAATACGATTTTTTAAATCAGATAAAAATTATGACCTCTATAGGGTCCACAAGCTAAAAACGCGATTTTTCGTACAATCAGGGGCCATAATACAGGAAGTTACAGTCCGATATGCGCGAATATTGAAAGGAACCAAGATCTTTGGGTTATAAACTTATATTTCAAGTTTCAACAAAATCGGATAAAAATTGTGACCTCTACAGTGTTCACAAGTGATTTTTCGTACAATCAGGGGCCATAATCCATGAAGTTACAGTCCAATACATGCCAATATCGACAGGAACCGAGATCTTAGGGTGATAAACCTATATTTCAAGTTTCATTGAAATCGGATAAAAATTGTGATCTGTAGACTGTTCACAAACAATTGTGGACCAATGGACAGGGGCGACGACAATATACGTCCACATAAAAATGTGGGCGTATAAAAACTATGTTATTGTGTGAAATTAAAACACACAATGACAAATAAATGAAATTATTATTAACATTATCTTTGCTTACAATTACTATAACCCAGCCATGACATGTTGACAAGATAAACAACAAATAACCAATAATACAGAGTTCATAACTAATCGTTCTGTATCTTTAAATTTCTCCAGGCAAATTAAAAGTGAGGAATAATTTTGTATGATTGAATATGAAACAAGATAATAATTGTATTGTGTTTATTCATTATTAACTACAGATAAATACCTGGTGTGTTAAATAATTCATTGAAAATTATTAGTCCATGTAATTGTCTCTGTTGTATAAAGTTTATTTCTGGTGACGTTTCGTCTGCAGTGCTGGATTAACTATATTAACCCTTTAACTGTCAGATTGTTTTGGGTTTCGACTAGGAAAAACATAGTTCAGAATATATCCTGTAACTTTTTAATTTAAGAATAAATCATACAAATGTATACATTTTTAAAAAGATCTTGAATTCCTCTATAAGATATTTAACATTTTGTGCCATTTTTACTTATACGTCATGACTTTCACAATGGCCTCCTGATTAATATTCCATATGGAACATCTAACAGTTAAAGGGTTAAGCAAAATAAGCATGTGCTTAGGGCATCATGGTAATGGGGCACCACAGAATGTCGGCTTTTTTTGATGCCATATTTAAAATATTTAACCTAAAAATTAATTAAGAACTATCAATTTGTTTTTCATTGTTTTTGTCTTTTCTCACTGTTACCTGTTTTCTGTTTTGTAGCAATTAATAATGAAGTGTATAAAATCACAGAAAAACTCATGTGCTTGGAGATTTATTGTTTTTTATATTTTGAATTGTATGGGAGAACCAAAATCTTTTAAGTGCTTAGGGCCTTTGTGCAGAGTTCTTAATCCATTTTGAAACAATGAGGTCCCGGTTGCAAATAGGTTAATCATAAGCTCCCATTCTCTTTAATATAAGGAGACTTCAACAAAAATAATTCTTGGTAAATTGATATAGAGAATGTCGTACTCATAGGCTATTCTAATGTATGTGAATACCACAAAAAAATAATTCACGTATTGGCTTGAATAAATTACTGTCTTCGTTTGTTTGATGAAATGTTCGTGTTTCATCAGTCAATGGTCTAAAATATGTGCATTCAGAAAATGCTGTAGCCAAAATAAGCTGATACGGCACCATGTGGCATTTCTTCATAACACAATTTGTTGTTTTTGTCTATCACGTAACTAGTCATGTAACTTGCAGCAAAGGTTTTTATTCATTCATCGATGATAGGCAAATGGCACAATGATCACGTGACAACCTTAATTGATATTGCTTTAAAATAAAATTCCAAACGACTATGACAGAGCCTTCAATATTTTTAAAATAAGGTCTCTGTCAGCATGTGCATAAAATAAAAACTCTATTTAAAACTGATTTATTGACCTAATTCCAACCAATGTGTCATGTGCCATTGGAATTCGGCATTGGAGATTCTGTCGGGAAAATAGTTGGTATTCTATCAGGGGATTATATTCAATGAAGATTTAAAGTTACCTAATAACTGGTCTGTGAATCCATTAACGTATTATCCAGTTATTTTAATATCTACCGGTACCTGGAATTCATACAGAGTGTGGAAGGTGCATGATTTGCAAAACATGCCGAGATCGTCTTCTTTCGTCATATGGCGTCATTGTTACGAATAATCAACAAGCTTATTTTGGTTTTTTTACTGAATTATCAAAATTATGATTAAAGATACATTATGGGAAAATTTCAGTCAAATTGATCCACTCTGAATTTAGCGATTGAATTTTGGGCCTAACCTTGATCATCATTACTAAAGTTGGTATGGTACGATAAAAAAAATAGTCTTGATTATCCATTTTTGATTTAATCATCAATGAGCATTTTTAGCAGCAGATCAGGTTCTAATCCTGTAAATATCACAGGCTAGTGATGACATTGATTATGGTCTGGATAAGTTAATTAATGTCTAATTAATATTTAGATAACATTTCAAGCCTAAAGAAAGACCTGCAATTGGCAGATTTAGCTCTTGCATAATGTATGTTTAAATGTGCTAATTAACAAGTAATAAGTAACCCATTGTTATTTAGCCAAATAGATTTATTTATGATACCATAGTTTCCGTTTCATTATTTTTTCAATCAGCTAGATTAAACATCAGGCGGCTAATGCAGCCAAAAAAACAGCCGATTAAGAATAGTGCCTCTGTGAGCCTTTATCAATCTTTAAGTAACTTGTATTCCATATAACTGGGTCATGTGTTATTCTCATTCAATGACTAAATGCTGCTTAACAATTTATTTTGTCTCTGTTGTGTATAAATGATAAAATAATACCTTCATTATTATTCCCATGGTGTAAAAAAAGAAATTAATTTCAATAATAAAAACCGTGGCGGCTCATCGAATAAACATTATAATTTTAGATGATAAATCTGTTTATTACGCAATGGGTAATTTTTTATTATCCACCTGACATGATGCTGTTTATATTATGGTAAATATCATCTTTGAATGAGGCAAGAGATACCTATTGGGAATAATTATTATAAATCATAATCAATGATAAATTGTAATTTTTCAATATTTGACTTATCACATAATACATAATTGGCATCTGTGGAAGTTAAAACAGATGAGTTATGCCAGAACTGTTGTAAACAATTACAGGACCATACATGTTCATGTAAATCACTGGAAATCGATAGGCTTTATTGTTCCACCACTTAAACACTGTGAATAAATTTAAAGTCAAGCGGATGATAAATCTAGTCTCAAGATTTTTCAAAGCGATCATGGTCAGTAACTCCAGCAGTAATTATTTGATGTTTCATGACAGTAAACACTGTGTATAAATTTAAAGTCAATCAGACAATAACTTGGTCTCTAGTGTGTGTACAAGATTTTTCAAAGTCATCAAGCGCAATAACTTCTTCATCTCATGACCTTATAAACACTTGTGTATAAATTCAAAGTTAATCGGATGATAACTTTAGTCTCTAGATCATAAAGAGGTCTAGGGTCACAACTCCGGCAGTAATTATCAGAAATCTTTGAAAATCAAGAAGATTCTTCTTCTTATGACCTTAACCAATGTGTATAAATTTGAAGGCAATTGGATAATAACGTTAGTTTCTAGAGCATCCACAAAATTTTCCAGGTGATTAAGGGCCATAACTCTTGCAGTAATTATTGGAAACTGTTGAAAATCAATAGGCTTCCTCAACTCATGACCTATGCCAAATGTGTATAAATTTGATAACTTTAGTATTCAAAGCTTTCAAGGGACATGACTCTATGATTAATTATTGGAAATCACTGAAAATCAATAGGTTTAATCAATGTATATGACTTCAAAGTCAATTGGATAATAACTTTAGTCTCTAGAGTGTCCACAAGATTCATCAAAGTGATCAAGGTCCATAACTCTGGCAGCAGCTGGGCTGAGAGCAGTTAACTTATTAATGTGTTTATAGAAATAAATTAACGTTTTAACACTGTGACGTCATATAGGTATATTTGGCGGGAAATGGATATACTATTCAGAGACCACATTCCCACCGTAGAAATAAATCGGAATCAAGGGTCAAGGTCAAAGGCACCAAATTTGATTTTCTTAAAAACATTTTCCTGTCAAAATTCCACATAAATCCTAGATATGAAATGGGTTGAATACAAAAAAGGCCATGATTTAGGAGCTCTGCTAAATAACTCGTATTAACTCATTAACTTAAAACTTTTAATGTGTTAATCAGTAGAAGGAAATCAGAACTTACTCTCAGTCCTGTCTGGCAGTAATTACCAGAGACTGCTGAAAATCAATAGGATTCTTCGTCTCATAACCATAGATAATGTGTATAATAAATGTAAAGTCGATGGTATAATTACTTCAGCCTCTAGAGCTTCCAGAGACTGACAGTCGGGGTGACGTTAGCATTAAGAATAACCTTGTTTTTTGTCCAATCCGATCGACTAGAGGTTGTTATTTCTTTGGCCCTTTATCCCACACCATTAACAAGGGGAAACCCTGAGGTACTTTCTCGGGTTATAACCAAGATTGATCCCAGTACCACCTGGTTGGAGAGATAACACCTTACTCAGTGAACAAAACTCCTTCGAAAAACATTTAATTAATTAAAAGTTTGGTCAAACAGATAAGTTTCAATTTCTAATTTGATTGTAGTACACAAAATCTTTGCAAGACTATGGATATTATTATAAAAGAAAAGACATGAAATGAAATGAAATGAAATGGAGTTTAACTTCCTACTGTTCTGCTCCAACCTGGGCTAATGAAGACGGGCATACGCCAGTGTGCTATGAGGGAAATTTTGGATGAACTTTCTCGGACAATGCAGGGATCGAACACTCGACCTCCAGGCTAGCGAGCCAGCATCTTACCCACTTAGCCACCCCCACCCCCCCAAAAAAGAAAAGACAAATTAAAGGGATGATGGAACATTCTGTGGTGTAAAACATAACTAATGAGTTGCAATTGAAAGTCACTGCGTAGATATTTAGTTAGACCTTAAGATGCATTATACACAAGATTTAGATAAAGAGCTGACCGTTCTCGCTATAACAGTTTAAAAATAGATGATGAGAAAGGAATATACAGAAAATTTAAGTCAAATTACTTTATTCTGGGCAAAGTTATGGATTTTTACCATTGTTATGATAATAAACCAAGTTTCGATTATTCATTATTTAATTCAATTATTGAATGTCGATCGTGTTTCAATCCACTAAAACTCACGATCAGAGAGTTGATTATGTGGTTGTCATGTGAATAAATGTCTAATTAGGCAGATTTAAATCTTACATCATGCACCTTTTATAAAATGACAATAAAATTTGATTTTCCAATTTCCCATACCTTTTGTGTTAACTTTCTACCAAAGCTGCTGTTTAGTAAACGAGTGGCACGTCTTCTGGGTTTCCGCTTTGGATCTGGTGATTCTTCTGTCTTCAACCATTTATACTACAAATAGAGAAATGGGCATTTATTGTCTAATCAAGACAAATAGATTACTTCAAAACTAACATATGCGACTAACTGTGGCTAAATGAGACACATTGGTCAAAATAGCAAAATGCAAAACTGTGTAAAATTGCAATTCTGGTTTCAAAAGAGCTATAAATTAACCCTTTCACTGCGTATACCCGGTAGTACCGGGTATTATAAAATGTCGGTAAAATGCCCGTACCCGGTATTACCGTGTACTCAGTGAAGCCCTCGCTAAAATTAGTACCGTAACTGCAAGTGCCATCTATTGTATTTTCTATACACTAGAACATATTTCCACGTGTTTCAAAGCAGCAAACCGTAAAATGGCGGAGTGCATTGTGACAACGTAGACGATGCACTCTCGACGAAGTCGTGAATGACGTCTTGCTGACCAACATGTGGACAATTTCGAGGCGGGTGATACACATAATTCGTTTCCAGTTACTTGATAATGATAGTAGTCAGGACAGTGATTGGTATTATGAAGTGTGTGATTTGTTGCGCGACGTTCCGCCCATGGCTAGCTATGTCTCCCGTGCATGATGAACAAGCCCAATGTGAACACGATAGCCCTGTGTCTGCAGTAGATTCTGACAATAATTCTGATGTTGATAATAATGCTGGCCTGCTGGATCGTAAAATACGTAGGTAATTCCTGATTCCCGAACGTGTAGATCTATTGACTGACTATATTGATAATGATATGGGACTTGGGGATGAAAGTGAAAGTAAAAACAAGGTATTGCAATCGCACGTGGTCATGGCAGCGGGAGACGTGATGCGCGTGTTCGCGGCGGCATTGCTCATGGCTGCTATTGATATTTTTGTTCATTTTATATATCTTTATCAAAATCCAGTAAAAAAAACCAATATCTTTTAAGTATTTCATGGAGAAAAATTCGTTTTCGTGTTAGCTTTAGTGTGAAATGAGAAATCCAAAATGGCCGCCATGACGTCACGTGACTACATTATTATGCAAATTTCCAAAATTCTATTTTTTCCTCTTAGCCCAACCTCATGCCCATCCCAACAGACAAAAAGATTTTTCATAAAAGCTTCCATAAGTACTGCTTGGCATTCAGTTCCAACCTCCCTTTTTTCCTCAAAAAAGGGTCTAGCACAGGCAGTGGATTTACGTCTAGCATTGAAAGGGTTAATATGACATGATTTAAAACACTACTACTTCTGAATTTTAATTACATGCTACGTTTCAATACACATACAGGTATTGCTATCATCATTTGCTTGATAGAAATACCTGTATGTGTATTTAAACGTATTGTTGCATGTTTTTAAATTTCAGAAGTAGTAAATCCATACCACATGTTTTATTTTGTGTACTCTATTTCTATATGTCTTACAAGGATTGTGACATGATTTATCATGAAAATGGCTGACATATCTAGCTTTCAAGTGTTATACACAATAAAATTAATCATTAGAAAAAAAGCAAGAGTTCATAGAAAACAAAAACATAAAATTTTATGCATTCTAATAAGTTTTCCCATTTGAACAATAAGAGTAAGATATTTATTATGCTTGAAACTCAAAGAGATAAAAGAAAATTATTTTCTTGTTTCGAACCCCATTTGAAATAAGTGGTTTGCAATATGTGCCTCATTTATCAGGGCTTGTGACTCATTTATCAGATTTTAATTTCATTATTTAACCTGCAGGCAATAGAAAAACGGTATCTCTTGTATGGCTCTCAATTTATAGTTATTGAAAGATTTTTACAGCCAAGACTGCATGAGTAAGTTCTAAACCATAACAGCGAATTGCTTTGTTATTGAAGTAGTTATTTTTATTCAGACAGTGAGGTCTAAACCACCAAGTAGTTATAACAATCAAATTTGCATAGTTTCTCAACTACTGGGCAAAAAAGATAGGTTGCCATTTAACAAAACATATGCCCACAGCAGTTAATTCCTGGGGAATCTTTAGGCAAATAAAACGCAAATAATTATTATTTTTATATGACATAGTTAGGCACATTGACAAGAATCTATCACATAATAACGGGGATTAACTCTAGAAGTAATTATCGGAAATTATTATAATTATGATTCATTGCAATAATAGAAAAAAAACCAAACCTAAATTAATATTAAGCACTAGTACTTAATGAAAATTGTTTGAATTCAATTGGATGACAACTCATTGATACCAGTCAATAGAGCGTTCAAAAGACTCAAAAGGATTCTTGCTAATCTGGAAAATGCATTATTAATTTCAAGCAAAAATTAGATGATAACTTTCACTGAAGATTTTGCAAAGTTAACAAGGACCATAACTCTAGTAGTAATTAAAGGAATCTGCTGAAATTATATTACCCTTTTTGTTTCTCAAGGACAAGGACAGTAACACTGGAAGTTATCAGAATTTAAGGAAATTCAATAAACATTTTATTATTCTCTGTAATGTTAACAATGCCGAAATTCAAAAGGGGTCTTACCGTCTTGGTGTCAATAATGTAAACAACATACGCAGTTTGAAAAAGATATACATGTAAGATAATACAAGAGCATCGCTAACGCAGCAATATACGTCCACATTCCTGTTTTGTTTGATATGGTCCAGTTTGCATTGAGGGTCTGTGAAATAAAACTGGGTTGTAGGACTGCTATCAGTTTAACACTTCGTTCACATTAACAGAACACAATTTTATTTTAAAACAATCGATGTCTTTATTCTAAAAGCATGGCGTTTCGAATAGGTATGCAAAGTTTCAAAAGGATCTGTTAAGAATTGCGGTCTGTAGGCAAAACACAAGACACACAAACATTAGGCGTGGCTCTGTCCCAAGGGGTCGAGCATGCACCAAAAATAATAATAGAGGTCGGCCTTAGGATTAAGGAATAAGTATAAATAGTAGCCTTAGGCTATAAGGAATAAGTATAAAAAAGTTTTCAAGATGATCGATTAAGAAATGCGGTCTGCAAGTGACACACAGACATAAAAAAAGAAAATGGGCGTAGCTCTGCCCCTGGGGGTTGGGTATTCACCACAAATAATAGGGATGTTCCTTAGGACAGAAGGAATATGTATGCTAGGTTTCAAGGTGATACGATAAAAAAATGCGATCTGTAGATGACAAACAAATAAATAAATATAATGGATGGGCGTGGCTATGCCCCTGGCGGTCGGGCATGCACCAAAAACAATAGGGATCATCGTTAGGGTATAAGCAATTCATATGAAATTTTTTCAAGACGATTAAGAATTGTGGCCTGTAGGTGACACACAGACAGAAAAAGAAAAGAAAATGGGCGTGGCTCTGCCCCTGGGGGTAAAAAAAACAATAGGGATCATCGTTAGGGTATAAGCAATTCATATGAAAAAATTTCAAGACGATTGATTAAGAATTGTGGCCTGTAGGCGACACACAGACATAAAAAAGAAAATAGCCGTGGCTTTGCCCCTGGGGGTTGGGCATGCACCCAAAACGATAGGGATGTTCCTTAGGGTACAAAGAATAAGTATGCAAAGTTTCAAGATGATACGTTAAGAAATGTGGCCTGTAGACGACAAACAAACAAATACAAAAAATGGGCGTGGCTCTGCCCCGGGGAGGCGAGCATGCACCAAAAACAATAGGGATCTTCCTTGGGGTATAAGGAATAAGTATACCAAGTTTGAAGAAAATCCAGTAAGAATTGCGCCCTGTAGGCGACACAAAGACACACGAAAAGAAAATGGGAAATGGGCGTGGCTCTGCCCCTGGGGGTTGGGCATGTACCCCAAACGATAGGGATGTTCCTTAGGGTACAAAGAATGTGTATGCAAGATTATAAGTTAAGAAATGTGGCCTGTAGACGACAAACAAACAAATACTAGAAATGGGCGTGGCTCTGCCCCTGGGGGTCGGGCATGCACCAAAAACAATAGGGATCTTCCTTGGGGTATAAGGAATAAGTATACCAAGTTTGAAGAAAATCCAGTAAGAATTGCGCCCTGTAGGCGACACAAAGACACACGAAAAGAAAATGGGCGTGGCTCTGCCCCTGGGGGTTGGGCATGCACCCCAAACGATAGGGATGTTCCTTAGGGTACAAAGAATGTGTATGCAAAGTTTCAAGATTATTAGTTAAGAAATGTGGCCTGTAGACGACAAACAAACAAATACTAGAAATGGGCGTGGCTCTGCCCCGGGGGGTCGGGCATGCACCAAAAACAATAGGGATCTTCCTTGGGGTATAAGGAATAAGTATACCAAGTTTGAAGAAAATCCATGAAGAATTGCGCCCTGTAGGCGAACCACAGACACACACACACACACACACACACATACATACATACACACACACACACACACAGACAGGGGCGACGGCATAATACGTTCACATTATGAATGTGGACGTATAAAAAGGAGTAATAAGAGGACAACAGATGGACGAACAGGGTTTGACAGTAATGTACAATCACATTTAAACAAGATGTAAATGCAAGATGGGTGTTTGAAAAAACAAAGATTGACACAAGCCAAATAATCTATTTTCTTTTCTAAAGACTTATCTGCTCCTAGTTCTGTAATAACAATGGTACAGACAGAAGAATAATTAAATACAGATGAGAACTGGAACAGAATAAATAAAGTAACACTAAGGATGTTAACAATAAAGTCTAGTCAGACACAATGTAAGAGGGGGAGTAATAATTAAGTCAGTTCGCAAATTCACGTTGATGACCTACAGGCCAAATATTTGTCTGTTCTAAATTCTAATAAAACATGACCCAATTTATCTAGAGTACAAGTTAATTATATCTAGTGAATTTTCAACCAGGATTCTGTCTTTATCAAATATACTACTACTACTTTAGCTTCCACCTGAGGTCATATCAAAAACAACCAAGTACTTCTAGCTAGGGTGATATCAAGACATCCAAACACTTCCAGTCACCTTGGGTAATATCAAAGACAATCAAGCACTTCCACCTAGAGTAGCACTGTCTAGGGTGATATCAGAGACATCCAAACGCTTCTACCTCGGTTAATATCAAAGATAATCGAGCACTTCCACCTAGAGTAGCACTGCCTAGGGTGATATCAGAGACATCCGAACGCTTCTACCTAGGCTGATATCAACAACAATAACACTTCCACCTATGGTGATATCAAAGACTTCTACCTAGAGTGATATCAGAGACAATCCAAATACTTCTATCTTGGGTGATATCAAAGACATCCAACACTTCTAGCTAGGGTGATATCAAAGACAACCAAATACTTCCAGCTAGTGTGATATCAAAAAACAAGCAAACACTTCTACATGGGGTGATATCGAAGATAACCAAACACTTCCACAAGGGTGATATGAAAGACAACCAAACACTTCTACCTAGGGTGATATCAAAGACAACTAAATGCTTCCACCTTGGGTGATATTAATGATGATATTAAAGACAACTAAATGCTTCCACAGCAATATCAAAGACAACTCCACCTGGGATGACAAAGTATAGAGTTCAGTGAAGGTATTACCAGCGGCTGGCCAGGCAGGATACGCCCACATTTTTGAGAGATGGATAGAGAACAAGCTAAAACGAAAGTGATTTTTCCTACAATCAAGGGCAATAATTCTTGAAATTACAATTCGATATGCGCAAATATCGAAAGGAACCGAGATCTTTGGGTTATAAACTAACATTTCAAGTTTCAACAAAATCGGATAAAAATTGTGACCTCTATATAGGGTCCACAACCTTGATATACCATATTTTTATGCTATTTGAGAACGAGGGGCCATTTTGTCTGTCAGTTTTGGGCCGATTTTCACGAAATTCGAACTCAGCCATCCTTAGGGTATAATGGGGATATAATAATACGTTTTTTAAATCGGATAAAAATTATGACCTCTATAGGGACCACAAGCTAAAAACGTGATTTTTCGTACAATCAGGGGCCATAATTCAGGAAGTTACGGTCCGATATGCGCGAATATTGAAAGGAACCGAGATATTTGGGTTATAAACTTACATTTCAAGTTTCAACAAAATCGGATGAAAATTGTGACCTCTATAGGATCCACAACCTTGATATACCATATTTTTTACGATATTTGAGAACGAACGGCGGCCATTTTGTCTGTCAGTTTTAGGTCGATTTTCAACAATAATATACAATACGGTATATAATTAATCATAAACCATGTGTGAAGAAGTCAAAAAGTCAAAACTTATGCAATGTAGTTCCAAGGTATATTGACAAAGAAAAGCAACATAATTAAGTAATTATAATATAGATGGGTAACAATACAGTTGAATAATGATAATACAATGGATTACTTAATGTTCTTGAAATAAAGAGACTGGGATTACGATTGAGCTTAGGGTGGTATTGTTTCATGTTAATGACTTCTATTAAACAAAGAGCTAAATCTGCCTATTGACGGTCTTTCTTTAGGCCTTAATGTTATTTAGATTATTAATTAGACATTTATTAACATGGCAAGACCATAATCATCTCTCAATGCCATCTGATGCTTCTGATCTACTGTTCAACAGCAATTGAATAAATGCAAAAATGGATAATCAAGACTTTTTTATATTTTCGTCACAACGGCAACAATGACAATCGAGGCTACAAGGTAATTAAAATGAATATTTCATGGCTTAGAGTGAAGTAGTTTGACTTAAATTTTTAGAATATTCCTGTTACATTATCTATTATTTAACTATTGTAGTGAGAACTGTCAGCTCTTTATCTAATCTCCCATAATGTATCTTTAAGTTTTGGTGTCATGTATTGAAAACAATATGGCTGCGAGTGAAATGCCGCTGAAGACTGGCTTCTATTATTTAACCAAACTACACCTAATTGAATTATTTTTGGACTGATATACTTCAGTTTACACGGAATTCAAAATCCTTTGAATGACGATCAACGTCTTTTATAGAAGTATAATGTAAATGTAATGAAACTGTCTCGTGAGACTATTAGTATTATTCTTGTGATAGATCAAAGACTCAATTGTTCTTTGAGACGTTGAGATCACAAAACTATGGTCTGAAGGGCAGGCAGTATAGTAGACTGGCTAGAGGCATAACTTCCTGACATTAACAACAACATGATATCTATCATTTCTACATCCTCTTATCGATGACACATTTTACATAAAACATGTGCAAGTTAGACATAATCAAAATAATCCTATTGATTACCTATCACTGATTGAAAACACAACATGTCCTAAAATATTTATATTAATAATCATTATCAACAAAATACACAGCCTGCTTCTTGTCAAGCGTAAAATTATACGGCAGAATTTCAGAATTGTCTGAAGGGTTGGGACAACAATAAGACTAAAAACTAGGGCTACCATTTATGTCTTATCTATATCAGACTGATCAATCTTAGAAACAGATTAAGACTGATACTACATCAAGTATTTTACATAATTACAGTTGAGTTTATATAAATCAAATGAATTGGGGTTTAACATCGGACTACTGTTCTGATCCAGCAGTGCTATGAAGGAAATTTGACCCTGACAGAGGCACTATGGCAGACTAACTTTCAAGGGATCGCATGTATATATATATATATATATATATGGGACTGATTTTTCAGACCATTCAGACAACAAGACTATTTCCTGTAGTGCGATCTTCCTGCCCTTACTATTCAGATGCATTGGATAAAACATAAACAGGAGCTTGTCAGGACAAATTTGTCTCCTCGCAGACATTGCATATCACTATAACTTGGATATCATGTAGTTGTGTTATTTTAGTAGGGGTTTCTGTATTTAATGTCTAGATATGAGTATTGGGTTTATAACTGTTTAGTTTCAGAGAGAGAGAGAGAAAAATGGGGTTTAACGTCCACTCGACACAAACTAGGTCATTTCGGGACTAACATATGGTTTAATTTTATTTACATATTTTGCTTGCGCGTAGGGGTCTTTAGCTGTGGGAGGAAAACGGGTCCCCGGAGAAAACCCACCAGGTTGGACAGGCGACCCTACTCCTTGCCACGTACAACCGGGGATTCGAATCCACGCCAGTCGACTCAATGACATACTTTATGATCCAGCGCGCACGCTAACCATTCAGCCATCCAACCCCCCCCCCCGCCCCTGTTTAGTTTCACGAACATAAATGAAATGAAATAAAATGAGGTTTAAGGTCCTACTGTTTTGCTCCGAACTGGGCTAATGAAGATGGGCATACGCCATACAGTGTGCTATGAGGGAAATTTTGCCTGGACAGCGGCACTACGGCCTACTCTTATATCGAATTCCAACTGGATGAACTTTCTCGGCCGATGCAGGGATCGAACACCCGACCTCCAGGCTAGCGAGCCAGCATCTTACCCACTTAGCCACCGTGATCCCCTTTCACGAACAGTGTTGAGTAATACTAAACAGTTGTAAACCCACCACTCATTACATAATCTAGACAGATCATTTTAAACCACAGTAGAAACCCACTAGCTTCCTATGATTCTCAACAAATTTGAACAGTTTTCCAACAATGGTTAGAAACTAATCATCCAATACCGAAACTCCTGCTAAAACTGCACAATTACGTGATACCTGAGTTGTAGTGCATGTAACCACAGAAATGAATATTACTATGTAACCACTGAAATGAATATTACTTTGCTAGTCTCAAAAATACCACAGATTGGCAAATCATTAAACCTAATTCCATTCCTTCAATCATAATCTACTGCAGTGTTCATCTGGATTTACAGTAACATATTAAAGCTATATTGCATGTAATCATATTAACATGAATTATTTATTTGTAGTTAACATACCTCTGTATCTTGACCTTTACTGTTCAACATAAGTTGCTCCATAATTGCATGTATAACATCTCGCTCTGAAATAACATTAAATGCAGTTTAGTTAGAACCATCTTCATCAAGCAGTGAAGTGCAGAGGTTTGGTGATACGGGGGGACCAAGTCCTTGATTGTATGGCCCCATGACTCAGGTATAGGATCTAGCACCGAGAAAAGTCAGAAATGATGATAATTTAAGTATGTAAAATCGGATTAAATAATCTTTTATTCAAATTAAATTAAATCAGACATATTAATTAAGTGTATGTGCTGTCACAAATCAGATCTACTAGAAAAAAAACCCACTTACACTACATTAAATAACATTAAACCGTTTCTTTTGGCCCCTCCCCCTCAACAAAACATCAATCAGCAGATAAATAGTTAATTAATGTTTTCAGATAACCACCAGCGGTTATAATCTGAATTATTTCACAAACTGTAAAAATTCATAAAGATGTTTAAATTTATACAGTTAAAAGGAGTGTCAACCGACTCGGAACTAACACATGGTTCAATTTTATTTCAATAATTCGCTTGCGCATTGGGTTTTTAGCAGTGGGAGGAAACCGGAGGACCCGGAGAAAACCCTCGAGGTTGGACAGGCGACCCTACTCCTTATCACATACAACTGGGGAATCGAAACCCCACCAGTTGACTCAATGATAGACCTTATGATACAGCGCATACGTGCTAACCATTCGGCCATCCAACCCCACACATCTTTATAATTGGTGCAGTCAACAAAAGATATAATAATAATAATAGCGCCAACAATTCAACTCAGCGAGCTGCTCTCAGGTGCTTTACATGAGTACAACTAATATAAAATTACAACAATCATAACACATTAATCCATAAAAAAGACAAACAAAAACGGAGAACATTATTCAGTATGCATGGTAAAAGTTTGACACAAACACAGATTAAACCGTATTCAATCAGTTGTATATTTGATTAAAAAGTTAGGTTTGCTTTTTGAAAATGTGAAGAATTGAGGTGAAGAATCGTCATACGTAATAGACAGTATTTTAAAATTGATACGTTGACGGACTGGAAGCCCAATGGAGATCAAATTGGTTAAAACACAGATCCTATTTCGTTTCGTTTTTATAGTTCAAAATTTCGTTTTACTTGTCTTCAGATCCTATTTCGTTTCGTTTTTATAGTTCAAAATTTTGTTTTACTTGTCTTTACTACACTTGATCTGGAAGAGTTGTTATTTAACTTGTGTTCTGAATGGTGTCAGGGATAAGCCAATGAAACGGTCTGTTACTGCGAGCTTTAGGCATGTTTTTCACGGAACTGTGGGTAATCCACTAGTAACATCAATGCTGATTGGTTAATCAAATGTCTGATGTCATAGGGTCATAAGTCGGTCTTTTGACCCCTGACGTGACCTATCGCTATAACTTGTCAGATCTTCAGTAGTGTAGGCCATCGAAAGTATAAAAAAACGAAACGAAATATAGATCTATATTTTAATCAGATTGAATTGAGATCTTTCAGAATTGGTGTCATATGTTCATTTGGTTTCGTCTTGGTTATGATCAGGGCTGCTTTATTTTGAAGTTTCTGAAGTCGTTTGATTTTATTTTCAGGCAGATTGCACAAAAGGTAAGTACAGTAGTCGAGTCTTGATGTAACCATAGTGTTTACCAGCATTTTAGTCGTGTCACTATTAATGAAAGATCTAATTTTTCCAATATTATAAATCTGAAAATTAATACTTTTACACATGGCCGAAATTTGTCTATTCATGTCCCGATGAGAGTCAAAATAAACACTAAGATTTGTTACAGAATCTGTTGGTGTAATAGATATATTGCCAATTTGATAATTTTCTGTTTTAGATTTTAGTAGTTATTGCCTGCTGCCGACTTTCATTATTCCTGTTTTGTCATCGTTGAGTTTTAATAAATTTGAGTCCATCCATTTACGAATATCTGATAAACAGGCCTCAAGTTTGCATATCTCAGATGGTTCAGAAGAAGGTTCAAAGGCTATATAAATTTGAGTGTCATCGGCGTACAGATGGTAGTTAAGACCGTGTTTACGAATGGCATTTCCTAAAGATGTTGTGTATGTGGTAAATAATAAAGGACCGAGAACGGAACCCTGTGGCACGCCATACTTTAAAACTGGAAACTGTTGGACAACTAAATGATTATATTGTAAAATAATCAGAAAATATTAAACATAATCAAAATTCTGTCAACTCTAGTCTTCAGTTTTTCCACAACATTCAGAATAATCTGAATATCACAATAACCTTTGATGTTTAATGTACAGTAATTGAACCATTAATCTCTATTCTCCAACTTGTCTAAAAGATATTAGAAGCAACGGTCAATAACTGTTAATGTTGAAAACTCTAATGTACAGCTTTTCTACAAGCTTAATAATTTTATTTTCAAATGGAATGTCGTATACAAACTACAGTATAATCAAAAACAAGCTGATTAATTTTTATATATACAGCAAATGCATCTAAAGATTATTATTGTTATATACAAAACATTTACATCAATTTGATAATGTCAGTTTATATTTGAAAAAGGTAAATAAATCATTATACAACAGAACTGTTATTTAAGTATACTTATATTTCTTTTCTTAAGAAGTAAAAATCAGTAATGCTTTTTAAAACCTTTTAAGTCACTGCTTTGGTGGAGATGATTGTTTTGTAAATTTGGTCGTCAGCTCTTACCCCTGTTTAGTTAAGTTTAGTTATGAGCGTACAATATGAAGTAGGAAGTGAGGATGACACAGCCATCTTGGAATTGTGATAACATATCAAACAGTCTATCAAGTTCCACAACAATCATAACCGAATTAGTGGAGCCTAAGGATTTTTTTTTCATGATTGTTGCCCCGGGAACAAAGAGAGAGAGAAAGAAATGGGGTTTAACATCCACTCAACAAAAAACAAGGTCATTTCGGGACTAACTTATTCTTCAATTGTATTTCAATAGTTCGCTTGCACGACCCGAAGAAGACTACGAAGTGTTACACTTTTAGTTTTTTTTTAATCGGTTCGGGATGACAACACTGGATTAAACCTCATATAATACTTTTATTATTCTTCAAACATATCAAGTTGGACTCTGTAACTAGCCTGTGTTGAGGGAGCCATGGTCCTAGCTTGGCTTGGCACCGGGGTGTCGACTCCCAACTAACTTATATGGCCACTCTCCGTTCTAAACTGTAGACGCCCTCGTTTTGACTCATAGCAGCCTGTTTCCAGCTCTGCTCTCTCGCCTGGATTCGAGATCATTGCGGTCCCCAGTTCACAGCCTTAACCCAAGGCGCCCATGGCCTTCTCTCCACTATCTCCTTTTCATTCCTGCTTATAAACCCTTTCTAGACAAAGGATGAAAGAAGAGATTAAGCAGCTGGCTATACTGAATCATATACCAAATTAAACTTTCAGTACAGATTACTTTACAAGACATTACATAATCGGGCCAGCTATAAGTTTATATTATGGTAATGACTAACGAGTGCAATCTGGACAACCATGGATGTCAATAGCCGACATAAAGATATTTTAACCAGTTCTGCTTTCATGTGTCAAGATGGCACGATAACTATCAATAATATCTGCCATTATGTAACAGAAGTGTATGCATACTATACAATCAGTTCCCGGTTCATAAATGGCAAGTTATGTTCTGGATGTAGTTTCAACATTCAAAATCTGCCTTTATTGACCAAATTCACCATCCAGACAGTATAAGTTGGTAAGGGCTACGATAAAACATTACAAGGACAATGAGCAAGAATTTGATGTGATAACTAATTCATTCTCAAAGTTCAATTCCTGTCTCTATTACCTAAATTCTCTTCAGATAACAAATTTTGTTTGTACTTTTTTATTAAGGCTTTCATACACAGATATCTTGTTGACAAATATCTCCAGACTAATAGATAAAACACATCCAAGTTTCCGCATGGTGGAGCATTGATTGGTTTGATATTTAATAAAGAGCTATCTAAACAGTGTAACACGTCCATAAAAATATCAGGATAGATATGTCAACTAAAAGTAACAGATTCCTAAATATGTTCGTATTAATTAAAAAATGACATGGTTACACTGATTTGTTTCAGATTTAATTAAAGCTACCAATACCAATTGTTATTTGAAGGAATTTTATCAGTCCGAAATGGTTCAATTCCGTTTAGTATTTACAAAGATATGATGAATCGCAAATTAATAAAATCTTTTAAATCCAACTGAATTTAGACTCAGAGATTATTACCTTTGATAGTTTGGTTTATTAAAGAAGCATTATGTAAGGTTTAGCCAAAATTTAGATGGGCTTAAATTAAAGCTCCATCCTTTGTACCATTACCATGATCCAAACATCAGTAATTAGTAAATGTCAGTCCCAACCAAATCTGCAATGGTCAATTTGAATAATTGGTAATTTATAAATTTTGTACTTGAATTACTGTACCATATAATTTGTGTGCTATACATTCCATATAAAGAACTCTATCAGACGTTTTTCAGAAAGAAGATGGCACATCAAGACTTTAAAACCAAGATCATAGTTTGACAACCTCACTCAGCTGTCAGCTCCATTCACACGCTTGGTGTAAAAAAAAGTAGGGTGTTAAACTATGTTTCATTCCTTTTATTATTTCTCTGCTCAAACTCATTCTAGTGCTTAACAACCTCCTATGTACAATTTCTTGCAGGGCCGTCTCAATGCATGGGCACACAATGCAGTTGCTAGGAGGATTCCATAAGTAAAGAGACACCATGCCAATCTATATGCGTTGTAATAACTTGTTGATTAATCTTTGCTGAACAGCATGTTTTTTTGAATGTTTAAACACTGATTTTATATGTTTAATCTAGTTCATTGCTTTTCCAGGGAACCTATATTCTATTAAAGACAGCCTTGGGTTCTTAACAATAAAAGGGTTCTTAGAGATCCATGAAAAATTGCCAAGAAACTTTACAATGTATGATTGTGAAGAAAATAAGCACCATTTGAATTGAATAAGTCTGTAAGGGTTATCAAACACAAAGAAGGTCTAAAAAAATATTTATATTGAATATTCCTTTACACAGCTTCAATTGATGAAAATATTTCCTGGTCTGATTAATTTATATAAAATATATATAACATTGGTACACCCTTTATAATGGCAGTAGAAAACCCATTCAAATCAAACCAGTAGACAACATATATCAAATAATACACAAACCAGAAATGAATACAGAAACTGACAACTAATCAATCAAAATAAGGTACAGACTAATGACGTACTATACAAAGTCTTCAATCTTTATTACAATTCGCTAAATGTGCCGATAAAGATAGCTTGCCAGGCAACAAAACATATTCTCACTAGCAGTGTGATCCTGTGGAGGTGGCCACCAACAACATTATTATCATGTGAGCACCAGCACATAAAAACTAACACCTCATGTTGGTCGGACTGTTCGATCTAACAAAGGATCAAGGAATTATTTAGGCTTTAGTTTTCTAACAACAACTGGCCAACATCTGACAAACAACTCTCAGATACCAGAAAACATTCTGCAAAATTGCACTAACAAATATCATAAAATACACTTTAACCCATAACAGGTCAGGATAAAAATTAATATTCGAAGGACGTCCTGTGGACATGCTATTTACATCACATCCAATATGTTGCCAAAAAGAAACATCTAGCCACCTGTCCTGTGTTATCTCTTTTGACATAAATCAACACTGACCGGTTCCAGGTAAACAACGTCTATTATAGTTTGGCTATGTGTAACATTTCAAGGAAAGCATTGTTTCATAGTACTATATTATAATAAAATGTCTACAGTATTTCCATGTCTCAGCTGGTTAACATACTAATTACTACCATTGTAGACTATTGTATTACATTTTATATGTCATCAGACAAAAATTTATCCAAGAGTACAATCTATATTCCGTAACATACCAATTAGCACATTTTTCCGAACATCGAGGACCACTATTGTTGTATTATATTCTAGAACATCCAGTAGAGCTCTGGCACCAGGATTAGATATACCACAAGATTGTAAATCTAAAGCTGAAATATACAACAAAATAAACTATATAATAAACAGACAGAGGGAGAGGGAAATGGGGTTTAAAGTTCACTTGACACAAACTAGATCAGTTCGGGACTAACATACAGTTCAATTTTATTTCAATAATTTGCTTAGGTGAATGAATCTTTTAGTTGTGGTAGGAAACTGGAGGACCCAGAGAAACTCACATGGTTGGAAAGATAATCACATACATCTAAAAGCTGGGAATCGAAACCATGCCCCTTGACTCAATAAGAGGCCTAGTGATCTTAAGCACATGTGTTAGCAATGAAATGAAATGAAATGAGGTTTAACGTCCTACTGTTCTGCTCTGAACTGGACTAATTAAGACGGGCATACGCCATACAGTGTGCTATGAGGGAAATTTTGCCCGGACAGTGGCACTACGGCCTACTCTTATATCGAATTCCAACTGTCAAGGGATCTTTTACGTGCACGTCAATGTGCACATGGGACCTCGGTTTTTCATACCATCCAAATGACAAGACAGCTGTCCTTGTCAGGCCCTCTGTCCTGCATCACTGACAGGGGGGAACCACGCTGGAAAATCTGGATGAACTTTCTTGGCCAACGCAAGGATTAAACACCCGACCTCCAGGCTAGCGAGCCAGCGTCTTACCCACTTAGCCACCGTAACCCCCCACATGTGTTAGACCCTTCGGCCACCCAACACCCCTATAAACACAGAACTGCCAATAAAATTGAAAAGTAGAAAATTAGTATTAACCATATTCCGTCTTGTTTGCATAAAGAATCTCCCAGTAGGTCAAAAGCTGTGATTTGTCATCCCATATGGCAGCTATGTTATCAGTTTTGTCATTCTTGTAATCATTTATCTTAACCTTTTGCATTGCTTTGTCATTTCTATTACTTGAGTTAATAGAAACTTTGACAGTGTATAATAATCAGTCAATGAAAGATTACAAGTTCAAAATAAGAAAAAAATTGAATGATACATGTATAATGTCAGACTACAAAGTGTTATTTCTTAAAAACATTAAATTGATATTAAATTTTGCTGATCTATTTTTTCTACTTTTGTTAGCTATTAGCTTTATAACATTTCATGATTGATTTCTGTTGGCTTATGATATTCCATTAAAGAATTCTGTTGGCTTATAAACATTTCATTAAAAATTTCTGTTAGTGTTATCTTGTATTTCATCCAACATTTCTGTTAGCTAAAAATCAAACATTTCTGTTAGCTTGTATATAACATTTCATCAGAGATTTCTATTAACTTATATAACATTTCATCAAAGATTTCTATTAGCTGATAACATTTCATCAGAGATTTCTGGTAGCTTTCATTGATGAAATGTTAGCTTATGACATAATTTCATTAAAGATTTTGTGTTAGTAACATGACCGAAATGAATATGCATTTATTTTCCTTGTTTAAATTGAACAAAAATAAAGGCAGAAAAGGTTCCTTTGTTATTGAAATTATAGATCACAATCATATTTGAATTTTGTCTTTTTATTGTGTATTGTCTGAAAGTCTATATTTCTTGTTTATTCTAGAATATCAGGCCTTCCATTTTTTAAAAATCATCCTATTGATAACTTTACTCATTTGTTTATGCCTAATCTTTTACAAAATTATCTTAAAAGATACATCTTCTAAACTTTGTAAATAATATAATACATCTTCATAACGATTGTGGAGTCTGTTGAAATTAAACATAAATCTGCCTATTGCAGATCTTTCTTTAGGCCTCAAATGTTATCTAAATTATTAATAAGACATTAATTAACTTATCCAGACCATAATCAACTCTTGATGTCATCGCTAGCCTGCCAAATTTACTGGATTTGAATCCGATTTGCTGCTCAACGCTCATTAATGATTTAATCCAAAAATGGATAATCAAGACTATGTTTTTTATCGTACCGACTCTAGTAATGATGATAGAGGCTAGGCCTTCAAAAGCCAATATCGCTTTACATGATCTAGTTTTTAAGTGCTTGTCCACGAGAAAACCATGCAAAATCGTGCAAAATCGGGAAGGTGAGGGGTCGGCCGATTCCATTCATATTCATAGGGTTTGGTCATGCCCATGAGACTACTCGATATCCAAAACCGCCGATCTCAGAAATTGACCCTAGCCGAGATACGGCAGGCAGGTGTTTTTGGGGCTTTTATCTCATTTTTTCGTCAATTTTAGGCAATGTTAGCTGTTGTTTTTCAGGTTGTAAATGAGTACTATGAAACAAATGATGATTCGATATATTTGGCTAGGTAGTAATGTTTCAAAAAAATGAAGAAAAAAAAATCTATCTTTCCACTCAGGGGTGCCATTTGGTTATTTCTGAAGTGTATAAATCAAACATAAAGTATCCCAACTTTATGCCGCGATTTCTCCACTGCCGCGGGGTCCCATGAATTCTTTTTGTGGTTGTTAGTAACTGGGTATCAGGTCTCTTGATCAAAAAAATAAAATTTTATATATGTCTATAACTACATTCTCAAAAATAGTGGGTAATTTTGACAAAAATCGAATAAATTCGACAATTTTACGAAGCTTTATCCCCAATATTATCAAATTGATATTCAAACAAATGTAGTATAATACAGACGCCTTCACAGCTGCTATATTTTCGCAACATAATGTTCGTATGACAACTTATACTGCAACTGGAAGTGAAAATTTGCTAAAATTCGCATTATTTCACTCTTAAATCTCTTGATATGTACAGATCTCATTATAAGCTGCAGTTGAGAGAACTGTCATAGCTTACAGTAGTCATTGAATAGTAAAATGTAGGCCTAAATCCTCAAGATTGGAAAATAAATTCTACACTCTAAAAAGTTCCAGGTCAGCACGACTAAAAAGGCAAGATTTTTTCTTTTCTTTCAATTTTCAGGACCGATGTTATCTTTACCTCTACCTGCAACCAACGAATTAATCATCTATATTTAGACTATACCCTACCTACAAGTAGTTTTCCTACACTCTTAAAGTACGGTGATCATCATCTTCACAAAAAGCCCCAAAAATAAACAAAAAACTTTTTTTTTTTTCAATTGGCTTAATGTAGCAATAGGTGTACGTATATATCAGAATATCGAACAGCAACAATTGGTACTAGTAGTAGAGTAGTTCATGTTGGTCTAACTCGTAACATTTTTTTAACTTGTTGTACGTAAAGCAGAAAGCGCAGATTGCTCTCTGAGGTAAGAATATACAATCACATATCAAATACTAAATTGGGCAATGCCCGTTATTGACCTCATGAGTCAATCCTTAATCCTCACAAAATATCAAATATATACAAAATTTACTTTCGGGAGGGAATACTAATCCTTACAAAATATCACATCTAATTACATTCATGAACCCTCACAAAATATCAAATGAATCCTTTCCTTACAAAATATCAAATAAAGTATTATACAAAATTTACATTCATGAACCCTCGCAAAATATCTACAAAATTTACATTCATAAATTTTTACAAAATATCAGAAGGATAAAATAGTGGAAGTACCTCATGAAACTAATCTCCTCAATATATATCAGGATCTATCAGCAGGACGCCGACGTTGTTACTATCATTGACAAATAGTAAATATACTGAGCGCCATGGAAAACGCATCACTTTTTTTTCCCAAATATTTTATTACTAGGTGGTTTTGTATGTATAATATTATGCAATACTATGAACCACTGTTTCACACAATGCTCCCAAACGCAAAAAATATCAGCCTGTGTGCAAAAAAAAAATTGCACGAGATGCACATCAAAAACCCAATATTCACGTGCAGCATTGTGTGTGAGCCCTTTAAAAGCATGTTTCAAATTAATGTGCAGTACATGAACTGTGAAACGTCAATCTGTCGTAATTTGTTGTTGGACGTGTGAAGGAATCGAGCTAGAGATGCCGAGACTTACTGAAAATCAACGGAATGAAGCCATGGGAATGTCCAGGGCTGGCATGTCTACACGTGCTATTGCCAGACACTTCAATTGGCATCAGTCCACTATGGTAAGGTTGGTGGAACGTGTTCGAGTTACTGGATCAACACGTGACCGTCAACGCCCTGGCCCACAACGCGTTACAACCCAGGCTCAAGACCGCTACATCTGGGTCACTTATCTGCGTGACAGATTGTGCCCAGCGACTCGAACAGGTGCAGCAGTCATCGGAAGACAAGGACCAGTAAGTGCCAACACCGTAAGACGTCGTCTAAGAGAAGTAGGACTCCGTGCACGACGACCTTATGTTGGAGCTATCCTCAGGGATCATCACCGTCAGCGGCGTTTGATATGGGCTCAAGGACACCAGACATGGAGAAGAGTAGACTAGCAAAGTGTGCTCTTCAGTGATGAGAGTCGCTTTCATCTTTATCATGCTGATGGCCGTCAACGTGTGGGGAGACGTCTTGGGGAACGTCTTGCAGACTGCTGCGTCTTCGAAACGAATCGATGGGGTGGGGGAAGTGTAATGGTGTGGGGAGGCTTCACATTTCATCACCAGACCGCCCTACACATTTGCAGGGGTCGCATTAATGCTGTAGCCTACCGTGATGATGTCTTGCAACCAATTGTTGTTCCGATGTTTTGAGCGCACCCACAACTACAGCACTTCCAACAGGATAATGCACATCCGCATACCGCCCGTTTTAGTATGGACTACCTGGCTGCTAACAACATCAATGTCTTGGACTGGCCAGCCATGTCTCTGGACATGGCACCGATAGAACATGCCTGGGATGAGATTGGACGCTGTCTGTATCGGAGACCACAGATGCACACCATTGCTGCTTTAGAAGCTGCTCTTGGCCAAGAATGGAACAATTTGCCCCAGGCCTTCTTTCAAACATTGGTAAATTCCATGCGACGTCGCTGCACAGCGTGCGTAAGAGCCTGTGGAGGACACATGCGCTACTGACATCTGTGTCGTACTTTTGGTTTTGACCCCTCTGACTTTGTACCGTTGATTACAGATTAAACATCCATAAGTGTACAAATGTGTTGTTATTGATGTGTTCCCATTTGAATATTGTTCACAATAAGAAGCAAAATAAATAAGATATGTTTACAGGATCATTTTGTTATACGAAAAACTAAGTGATGCATTTTCCATGGCGCTCAGTATATCATCAGGACGGTGTTATAATCATTGACAAATAATAAATATCAGCAGAACGGTGTTATAATCATTCACAAATAGTAAATATCATCAGGTCGGTGTTATAATCATTGACAAATAGTAAATATGAGCAGAACGGTGTTATAATCATTGACAAATAGTAAATATCAGTGGGACGATGTTACTATCATTGAAAAATAGTAAATATCAGCGGGACGATGTTACTATCATTGTAAAATAGTAAATATGAGCAGGACGGTGTCATTGAAAAATAGTAAATATCATCAGGACGGTGTTATAATCATTGACAAATAGTAAATATCAGTAGAACGGTGTTACTATCATTGACATATATGTAGTAAATATCAGCGGTACCATTTTACTATCATTGAAAAATAGTAAATATAATCAGGACGGTGTTACTATCATTGACAAATAGTAAATATCAGCGGGACGATGTTACTATCATTGAAAAATAGTAAATATCATCAGGACGGGTTTTTATAATCATTGACAAATAGTAAATATCAGTTTCCATCTTATACCAAGACTGTACCGGTGGTTTGGACATATTGTCTTTGCCTTTAAGACTGGTAATTGAACGTCAAAAATCCCACTTCTAAAACAAATCAGTTGCCACTCGTGCTTAACGTCATTTTTGGCAACTCGAACACTTGACAAATACCCTCTGATGTCTTTAGTAGACTCTTTCAATAAAACATGCTCAGTCTCTTTAGGATACACAGTGAAAACGACGCATTTTGAAGTAAAAAACTGCGAAAAAACCACATACAGAAGCCGCCATCTTGGATGGCTGGATACCAGAACTGATAGTTTTGACAGAGCGGGTTCTACGACTGCCTGAGCAGGTTCGAAACGCTAGTCTGTCAATTGCCGATGGTATCGAGTCGTTTAGCATCCATATTTTGTCACTATATTGATTAGAACATATCAATATCAGATGATCCAATAGCAAAATTGTCAAAACTTAGACAATGTTATCGCGCATGCACATGAAGATATATGAAATTTTATTTTTTTAATCGAGAGACCTTGTACCCATTTACTAACAACCACAAAAAGAATTCATGGGACCCCGTGGCAGTGGAGATATCGGGGCATAAAGTTGGGTACTTTATAGGGTTCGATTTATACCCTTCAGGAATAACCAAATGGCACCCCTCAGTGGAAAGATAGATTTTTCTTTTTTCATTTTTTTGAATCATTTTTACCTAGCCTAATATATCGAATCATCATTTGTTTCATAAGTACTCATTTACAACCTGAAAAACAGCAGCTAACATTGCCTAAAATTGACGAAAAAATGAGCAAAAAGCCCCAAAATACACCTGTTTGCCGTATCTCAGCTATGGTCAATTTCTGAGATCGGCGGATTTGGCTATCGAGTAGTCTCATGGGCATGACCAAACCCTATGAAAGTGAATGGAATCGGCCGACCCCTCATCTTCCCGATTTTGCATGGTTTTCTCGTGGACAAGCACTTAACTATTATAGTGAGAACTGCCAGCTCTTCATCTAATCTCCCATAATGTCCCTTTAAGAATCCATTATGTCATAATAGTATTCACGAGGAACAGATCAAATTAAGTATTATTTAGATAGGCGCCGTAGGTCTATTGTGTGGAAGGAGTTAACAGTAGTACCATGTACAGGTATAGTCATTTATCTTCTTGTTTGGTAAACGAAATCAATACTCTACATCGTCTAATCTTTTAACCCACAAACATTTCTCTCCATCAAAATTTATCACCGACCACGACATATTATACCATAGATGAAATGTGGTATAACTAATAGGCTTGTGTACTATACTTGATTTATTGAGTGTTGACTAGGATTACAGACAGGCAACTTCATAGCATTCAAGGCCAGCACAGACTGACTAACATTTGTTGGCGTCTAATAAAACAAATATTTTATACCTTTTTTGAATTTTCCGCAAACTAAGAATTTTTAAAGCGAACAACCAACATATGTTCAAAAGAGACCGATGTTGATGTCGCATTATTGATAAGTGACGGGATTTCGATGGAATATTCCGGACATGTCCGACGCTATTTTCCAAAAGTCCTAAATTGTCCGACTAGGAATATGCCCAATCGGACATAAAGACATGGTGTATATTCAAAATTCCGAAATTAATATAGTGTACTGAGCGTATATCTACCACTCTACCCGATTATTGTTGATAATAGGCTGGATTGATTAGGTAGTTGAGTGATCAACATATTTATCGTGATATACCGTCTATACACCTACCTTGATTAACTACTTAATCTGCCTTGATTGACTGACTTAATCATTTGTGGGACAATTCATCAATCCAATCAGCACTTCTAACGGACTATGATTCAATCCAATAAGAGTGATTATAAACTTAATCTACGTGATTAACCTGCGATTTCTCCATTGTCTGACCTTTTAATCTCAATGATGTTCACCGACAACACATAGAAATTAGTCATATATATGTCACATATCCTAATAGTATATAACACCCCAAATCAATATAGATTGTATCCGATAACTTATCTGCGATATCACTTCGGTGGAAGAAGCCGTTAAATTAAGCTATTTCACAAACACACATATCCAAAAAATACTAGACAATGTAAAATGCAAGCTCTGTCTCTGATCGCAGGCGGTTATAGTATAGTACAATAGCTGAAACGGAAGTAGAAATCTTGCGAGATGCATGACATTTTGAAATGAAAATGTGACAAATTCTACACGTCTAATGTCAGAAAAAAGATTCTATTTTGATGGCATATTCTCAAATTCATAATCATATTTTTAATGGGGTTTATGTTTTTATATAAATAATGTTGACAAATATTTCAATTTGAATAGTGTGAGTAGTTAATTATTTTAGACGATTGCACGTGCTAGAGTCAAAGGCGATTATTTAGCAGATGATGTCACTCACTCATGTTGTAGATCAACGGTTACTGCCAAATTTCGGGAGTTATTTTTTTTTTACCTTCTGTATAAAGGAATTTGAAATAGGTACGGGTCGGCAGTAGTCGGCACGCTTTCATTCTATCGTATTGTGGCAACACGTAATTTTGTAGGAATATTACTGACATAAATATGAATACCTTACCGGAATTAAATATGAAAAATAATGAGATGCACCTATTTTTTTTATTACATACAAATTTGAATATTTTGTTGACACATGATTTTTAATTGTGGTCTGAAACCATCTGCTTAAATAGTGATAAGAGTTATGCCCCTTTATTTTCGGTAAAAATGTCTGACAAGAAAAATTTGAAATCCCAACACTGTGATTGACCCAAACATCACATGGTATCAAAAAGTGATGTCAGTCATTTCTGTACCACGTGATCGTAAGTGAAATAGTGATTGGATGTCTATATAAACAGTTTTCCTCTTCTTAGTTGAAATTCAATGCAAATGAGACCAATATGAACATTTGTTGGCCGAACAAGTTTGATCTCGCGAACGTTGTTCGGCCATTTATTGTATTTAGTTTTTTTCAAGAGCATGATTAGATCTTGCCATAAAAGAGAGTAGTTGAGTATTGCATACTACAAAATGTTCAGATACAAGTTATTGATCCATACCATACTTTTTATATTCAGTTGGGTTTAAGATTTGCGATTACCCTTTCTCATGTTAATGGCAAGGTCCTCACCAATATTGGAGATGACTCCATTGTAAGGTTTAGTAACTTTTGTACAATCTGTTTACTTTAAAGTAATAAAATATTTTTAAATCAAATATGGCAAGGCCTGGAGTTGCCATAGATTTGAAATAATCATCTGCCAATATTCAATTCTTTGGTTTAATACTATTTGAAAATCTTAACCAAAATGTTCCTTTAAAAAAATATATCATGTCAAGCAAGCCACCCAATGTTTTTTCCCTTCAAAATGTCAATGTTTCTGAAAAGTTCTGAAAGCTTTCAGGGCTTGTTTTTGTGGTGTTATTGACATACTTGGCGGGAAAGTAATTTCCTGGGCTACTTTCAAATGCTTCTAAAAGCACGAACATTTAAACTAGAATTAATGTCAACAGAATTGGATCTATATAACCAAGTTGTTGAAGAGAAGTTAATCAATGATTAGACAGAATGATGAGAAATAGATCACCTTTCAGCCAAAGATCATCCTTTAAAGCTTCTGCTAAAGCCATCGCTCCTTGATCCCCTATTAAAGAATTATCGTTTAGTGTGATGCGTCTTATACCAGGCATTCTATCTAGATCCGGTCGCCTGTATCTCAAACTGTCTCCCCATGCTTCACTGTGACGCTTCATAGCTTGATGCTGGAAATAGAAACCATTATCATGAACATTCAGATTTAAATTGTAAGTATGAGAATGGTGTTTAAATACAACAGGATAACTGGCATCAATCTGTGTCCTATAAATCCAAATATCTGAAAAGACTTTTTCGTCACACAATTACTAATTCTATCCAATTAAACATAGTTTTGCCAGGCAACAAATATATGACTTTTAATTTCAATAGGATCCCCCTTCAAAGGCCAGTAAGTTTGGAAAAAATGTTCAAAATCTCTTATAGAGTGTATCAAAGTTTTGATAATAGGGACGATAACTGTATAACATTAGAGATCAAGTCTAAAAATCAACAAGATTATCAGATTTAATGGTGTTGAAAATACGTTTATTGGAGTTTGGTAATACATAATCAAGATTTACTCAACTTGATAGTTTACTAAGTTGAGAATATACAATTTACTTGAGATGGCAATACTAGGTTACTAGAGATGGGAATACAAGGTTACTAGAGTTGAGAATATACAGTTTACTTGAGATGGCAATACAAGGTTACTAGAGAGGGGAATACAAGGTTACTAGAGTTGAGAATATACAGTTTACTGGGGATGGCAATACTAGGTTACTAGAGATGGGAATACAAGGTTACTAGAGTTGAGAATATACAGTTTACTTGAGATGGCAATACTAGGTTACTAGAGATGGGAATACAAGGTTACTAGAGATGGGAATACAAGGTTATTAGAGTTGAGAATATACAGTTTACTGGGGATGGCAATACTAGGTTACTAGAGATGGGAATACAAGGTTACTAGAGATGGGAATACAAGGTTACTAGAGATGGGAATACAAGGTTATTAGAGTTGAGAATATACAGTTTACTGGGGATGGCAATACTAGGTTACTAGAGATGGGAATACAAGGTTACTAGAGATGGGAATACAAGGTTACTAGAGATGGGAATACAAGGTTATTAGAGTTGAGAATATACAGTTTACTGGGGATGGCAATACTAGGTTACTAGAGATGGGAATACAAGGTTACTAGAGAGGGGAATACAAGGTTACTAGAGAGGGGAATACAAGGTTACTAGATCTGAAAATAAACAGTTTAAAGGAAATACAGGATTTCCTAGAGTTAAGAAAGAAGGTTTACGTTTACTGAAGATTACTATAGGTTAAAAAGACAGAGTTTATGTAATCAATATTTTTATGTATTGTGTACATTAACAAAATAAAAAGTATAAGAAAGAATAGCTAATGCCATCCCTCACATAATTTTAACTCAATAATCAAATAATCCTGGATGAATGAAAGATCATGCCGAATTACATTTTATGTAATTTTTGAAGTAGATAGTTATAAATAATTTATCTGAATCAGATTTGAAAAGAATGGATGCACCAGCCTGTATGATTTGTCGACAGCAATATTGGTTAGATATATTATTGGCCCTCATCGTATTTTAATACATATTGGCAAGATGAAGACTAAACTCTCAAGGGACCACTATCATCATCATCAAATAAATATAGGCTTTAATAACGTTTCTAGTCAATATGATGGGTGGAATTAATAGCATATGGCCATTTATTCAATACTTGCAAGTAGACAAATATATCATGATAAAATGACCATCAATGCGTAAAGAGCATTGTAACATTGTTTGCAAAATTTTGTAACCTGATTTTCATTTACCGGTACTTGATGTGTCTTTGTCTACATACATGTATGCAAATTTTCCACTGGCATCAACATTTATTTCTAAGGTATGAAATAGCAAAACTTAATTCCTGTGATAAATGCATTTCATTTATCAGCTGAGTGGCATGATTATAAACATGTAACAACTCTTTGACGTAATATTTCACGACCAAGTTATTTTGATTGATGTCTAGAAATGAAGTCTGATTAGCAATTTTCACAGCACATCAACATGTCATATGGTGCTTTAGAGATAAAATTAAATTATCAGTATGCCTTGTTATTGAAACAAGTCTTAAGAAACTAAAAGGTATAGAGAAAAAAAGAGAAAATTACCTAAAACCATTGATTTTAAATGTAGAATTTTATACCATGTGGCTAATCTTTACAACATAAACCCGTCATCATAATATAGCCAAGTTCGAGAAGCAATGTAGGATGTTAAAGTTACAATTTCATATTTTTAAGTTATATTTTTAAAATTTATTAAAATAAAGCCTTAAAGGCTCAATACCACTCTTGTTGTAACTGAATAATATGTCCCAATCTTTATTCTGGTCAACAAATTGTACTATTTTACAATATTCCAATTATTGGATGATACTAAATGAAATGAAATGAAATGAAATGGGGTTTAACGTCCTACTTTTTTGCTCCGAACTGGGCTAATGAAGACGAGCATACGCCATACAGTGTGCTATGAGGGAAATTTTGCCCGGACAGCGGCACTACGGCCTACTCTTATATCGAATTCCAACTGTCAAGGGATCTTTTACGTGCCCGCCAATGTGTACACGGGACCTCAGTTTTTCGTCTCATCCGAATGACTTGACAGCTGTCTTTGTCAGGCCCTCCGTCCTGCATCACTGACAAGGGGGAACCACGGCGGAAAATCTGGATGAACGTTCTCGGCCAATGCAGGGATCGAACATCCAACCTCCAGGCTAGCGAGCCAGCGTCTTACCCACTTAGCCACCGTGCTTCCCATTGGATGATACAAATTTCATCTTAACACACCTAATTTAAAAAATTGGAAAAATTCAAACTAAATGATTTGAAAAGCCTGACGTAATGCTTTTCAAATGCGACTTGGATTTAAAAATATTTTTGAACCCTCTGGACAAGTAAAATAGGATTTAATGGATAATTTACACAACAGGTAGGACACTAACACATCTAGTACTTAGAATAAGGCTATTTTTTATTTTTCTGGAGCTGTCAAGCCAGCAAGAGTATTATTGTTCCTTTAAAATAGATGGTATCTATAAACAGTCCTACCTTGTTAAAGAATAATCCTATTAATCCTATAATTCACTATTGCCAGTTGAGAAATTGGTAAAAATATCATTTTCAACTTCAAATTCAAATGTTTGAAGATATCTATTCCATGCGGGGGATAGGAAAACAAGGGAGTTAATTGTGTTATTGAAATTAAATGAAATGAAATGGGGTTTAACGTCCTACTGTTCTGCTCCTAATCTGGGCTAATGAAGACGGGCATACGCCATACAGTGTGCTATGAGGGAAATTTTGCCCGGGCAGCGGCGCTACGGCCTACTCTTATATCGAATTCCAACTGCCAAGGGATCTTTTACGTGCACGCCAATGTGTTCCCATTCGAAAGACTAGACAGCTGTCCTTGTCAGGCCCTCCATCCTGCATCACTGACAAGGGGGGAAATCACGCCGGAAAATCTGAATTAACTTTCTCGGACAATGCAGGGATTGAACACCCGACCTCCAGGCTAGCGAGCCAGCGTCTTAACCACTTAGCCACGTGATCCCCCTAATTGTGTTATTATTTCCTGTGTCAATGATTTTTAAGTGTGGGAAATAATGCCTATGATCGTATAATAGTGAGTTGATAACCTATTGAGCAAAAGACATAGAAATAATTATGTTTTGACTTTCTTAGAAAATATGAAATTCTCACTTTAAACAGTAAATCCCATTATTCATTTTATTAAATAGTATAAAATTTACTCCTGAGGTAGATCTCAGGTGTAAAAGAAGTATTGTATACAATTAAAAGGAAATGGTTCATCAGTTTCCATATACACTTAAAACCATTTTTCTATAACTGCTTTTTCAAGCACAATTCTCAAAGGTACCCATAGAAATTAAGTGAGAAAGAGAGAGAGAAATGGGGTTTAACGTCCACTCGACACAAACTAGGTCATTTCGGAACTTACATATGGTTTAATTGTATTTCTATAATTCGCTTGCGCGTAGGGGTCTTTAGCAGTGGGAGGAAACTGGAGAACCCGGAGAAAACCCACGAGGTTGGACAGGCGACCCTTCTCCTTGTCACGTACAACCGGGGATTCGAGACCACACCAGTTGACTCAATGACAGGTCTTGTGATACAGCACGACAGGTCTTGTGATACAGCACGCACGTGCTAACCATTCGACCATCCAACCCCTCCAGAAATTAAGTGACAGTATATTTTATTTATACCATGAGCTTGCAAATCAGTAGTATTTGCAGGGTGAACTATCATAATTTTCTGATATTTAAAATGAAATCATCATTATTTTCTGCTTTGGCAGTATTTTTTTGTCGTACCCAGATTTTTCTAAAAAAATCCCACTACAGTGTAATACTGGTCATTCATCAAATAATTGACCAATCAGATAGAAGGTACTTAAAGATGTTAAAAAAAACAAAAAAAAAAAGCTCAAAAACACACACACACACAATCAAAAATACTAGAAAATTATCATATTCCTGAACATAAAAGTGTTATGACAAAAAAAAGAACTTGAGTGGAAATCGTTACTAGTCAATTAAGACAACAACTTATGGATGTTGACCAAAACAATTCTCCATCTCGCTACTTCAATACATACATCCATTCATTCATCTGATCAATCTATAATTAGCCCGAGTGTTGAATAGTCACGACTCTTTCAACATTCAAGCTCTATAAATCCAGTCAATAAAGATCCTATCTTTACAATTGATTATCCTTAAAGACTAATCTTATTTGGGTATTTACTGAACTAAACTGGTACCATACTCATTCATTCTTAGATAAAGACAAGCTAGATGATAAAAACAATTAACGTCAATCAATTTAAGTTGATGATTTCTCTTGAAATGCTCAAGGATGGAAAAATTTGTCCATATTCACAAAATAAGACAACACCAGGAAACATTTGGTATCAAATAACGAAAGTAACACAAAATTTAATTTATAATCAATCTATTTAGAATATAATGGAACCATAATATTTCCTTTCATGTTTTGAGTTGGCCTATTTCATATTATTACAAATTTATTGGCCAATATATCAAATACAACAAAAATTATTAAGGACAG